ACGAAGTACACTGCTGAGGGGAGCAGCGGGCGGGCCAGGAGAGGTCCGCCACGCTATGTGGTCTCCTCCGGGGCAGGCGGGATTCGAACCATGCGGAAGTGGCTTTAGCTTCTCAGTGCTGTGCCTCAACCCGCTGCGCCATCAGGGAGGGCCACTTCTGTGGACTTTTAATAACTTGATAACTGGTATGTCTAGGAGTTAACTATAGTGTGTGAATAGGCCCTTAGTTTTCTCCCTTTTTGATTCTTCACTGCAGAGTAGCTAATGGTATTTTTGTGTGGTGACTTGGAAGTTTTTAACTTTTGGATGGATTCACTTGCATGGAGAAGTAAAGTGGTGTTTTAAAAGATGTGAAAAATGAGAGAACTATATATTCTGATTACTGTGAGAGGGAATCCTCACATTATGTGCTTTTCCATTAGCTTTTTGCATTGATACATGATTTCTCAAATAGATAATATTCTGACCACTCCCCATCACATGTGTCTGAGGAACCAAATCTTTTCTTATTAGGAAAGATTGAGTGTTTTCCTAATCGATAGTAAATGGAATGCTAATAGCTTTTAATTAGTACACTTTGTATTGACTTGTGGAAGAAGGCATTGGGTTATTTTGAAATTAGGATGGAGGAATCAAGTGTTTCTTCACTGATTCTGTTTTAAACAGATGGCCATGAAAGGTATTCTCACCTACATATTTTTATCCTTTGTGAACAAGTCTACTTATGTCAGGTAGAACATAATAGATCATGGTATTTTGTTTCCCCCAATGAGCTAAAAGTGCATTGTTTGCTTCTATTTTAAAGAAAACTTCATTTCGTTCTACCTGTATTTTCAAGATTCATAAATATTTTGGGAAGGTTGTATTTTGTTTTTTAAAACTGAGAGTTTTGCATTTATTCCTTGAAAGAATTTTTCCTAGATCTCTATCTACACTCCCCCACCGCCCCATCTCCACATGCAGTCTGAAGCTGGTGTTTAAGGCGGTTTATGAAGCCACATCTGTAACTATGAAAAGGAGGCATCTGATTAGAGAGAAAAAAAAAAAGTCAAGCAGGTTTAAGACTCATTTTCTCTGGAAAAATATATTGAAGGCAATTTGCAGCTGGCAAGGTTTTTGCATTAGGTAACAGTCTAAAGTTAACAGTAGCATCAGGTCTTTACGATTTTTCTTTTTTGTATTTCTGGAGGAGGGTAATAGGAGTGCCTTGCCGAGCCCCCCCTTGTGCTCATCAACATAGCAGCCTCAGCTGCCCCCCTTGGATCCCCTGCTAGGGCTGCTATCATCTTCTGATCAAATATTAATGTGTGATCCTCTGCTTGCTCACTAATCCAAAGCCAATTAATATTATCTGTCAATTATTTACAGATCCTGAGGTGCAGAGGCAATTCCCGGAGGACTACAGTGACCAGGTTCGGAATGCGTAATTAATTTTTTACATGACAAAATTTATTTCAGAGTTGTTCAACATATTATTACTGTTCTTTTTACTGAGAGGGATAAATGAATTTTTAGAAGGGAAGAGAAACAATAATTAGGAACCCAAGACAAAAAGTAAAACATACTGCATTGGGCTTGAAAAATTATTGCTAGATTTGGGGCATTCCTTCCAGGGGAACACCCCAGAAAGGAAGAAACTCTATTGGAAATTGTACTTTTACTTTGAGATATACTGCAGCCTGGGCTTCATTAACAAATCCATTTTGGTTTGCTGATGAACTTTTTTTTATTAATGTTATATCTGCAGTCAAAGCCAGTGTAATGAAAAAGGGGGAGGACATTTCTTGGAATTGGAAAAAAATTATGAAATGGTGGTATGGTAGCACTCAAAGGAAAAACTGTACATGTAGGAATGATCTTTAGGGTGAGGTTGTTCTAATGATGGCAGTGAAAGTTAAGTTTGCCCAGTTGGTCCTGCCGTCTTGAATTTCTTACAGTCTGAAAGCATGCAGTGGAGTGGAAAGGACTCTCCCTCACAAGAGTGCAGAAGTTCTGGTGTTACTCTACTTTTTATAATAAGAGCCAAGTTATACATTCAGGATATCCTTTTTTACCGTAAGAAATGTAAGAGCTGTTTTGTAGCTTTCTTGGGTACCTTAGTTTTTTTAGTTCAGATACATAATTGGGTGTGCTTTATAAAGCCATTTTGAAATAAAAGCATTCCTGATTACATCGAATAAAATAACTTTATAAAACCTTTCACATGGGGAATATTATATACAATAAAAATATGTTTCTCAAGTATATTTATTTAATTTTGTTTATTAAACAAATATCCTTGAATGAGGATAAGTACAATGGAGTAGAAGTGTCGTGTACAGTAGCCTATTCTGCAGAGGGCAGGGTCTCTGATGCAGCTCCAGGAAGACAAGGTACACAATGAACCTGGATAACAGGTGTAACCACATGCTTTGTAATGAGATTTGTATTGTATAAGAACCGACAAGAAGGAGTACAATTTGCTTTGTGTCTCACCTCAAGACTTTTAAATGAGATTCAA